AAAAAAAAAAAAAAAAAAAAAAAAGTGTGAGAAAGCAGTTTTTACAGTTTCTGCTAAGTTTTAGCCTGCTTCCTCCTTTTTTTTACCTTTGGTCGCCTGTGAATTAGACAGAGGTGATGCCCTTTGTGCCTTACTGGTTTTGCTGCTGGGACAGCCTTTCTGTTTCTGCTCTCCGTGGGGTTTGCCTGGCGCTCCGCTGGCCCGCGGTGCTCGCCCTGTCCCCGTGCAGGACACGCTCGGCTCCGGCGGGACACGGGCAGCTCTGCCCGTCCCTCCCGAGGAGTCTGCCCCTCTTTGGGATCAGCGGTGGTGCCGTCAACTCCGTGCTGRCGATGTGGAACCACGTGCTGTCCTGCACAAGCAAGCCTCAATACCTGATCCTTAGGAGTAGCCTAGAGTAGCAATTTATTTATTCATTTTAATGCTGAAAAATACATGAGCTTTTATGTAAAGCAGGACTTTCCTTTTCTCCTTTAAAAGCAGCAGCAGGAGGTGCATGGGATTAGCTCCAGCAGGCTCCATTTTAAAACTAAGCAGGGGGAAGGAATGGTAGAAATTATATTGCTACTTCCTTACAGCCCCTCTGTAATGTGCCCTAAAGTAGAGAAATAGCTGTGCATTAACTGGAAACTTTGTACAACTGGGAGCAGCTTATTGTCGAGCAATAGTCTTCAATCACAGCCCTGCTGAAAACACATGCTGGTACCGGCTGCGTGGTCTGTGTTGGATGATTGTAGTCGTCAGTTTTAAAAACTGAACACCAGCAAGTGTATCTATTTTATTTCCTAAACGCTCCAGTAATTGATTTTAAGGTACTCACAGTTTTGGTGCGTGCCGTGGACGTTTAAGCATGCCGTTTGTGTTGGCAAGCTCTTTATGTAGGAGGCATTGCTGCTGGTATTTTATTTTCATGTAAGTGTTTGCCTTTCTGCTTGTGTGCATATATGTGAATAAAGTTAGGTAAGAGTATTCACCAAACTTCTTTAAGAAAGGGGTGGTAATGAGAACGCTATTAGTGATATTATGTAAAATACTTCTTGGGAAACATCTACCTGGAACGGCTCCCAGGTGAGCGATCCAGGGGCTTTCCAGGGTTTCATAGCACAGCGCTGGGCTCGTGCTTCCCAGTGATCCATTTGCTTGGATCTGGCTGCCGAGGTGGGAGAGCTGCCTTAGTGGCCTGTGGAGGCGGCTCCAGACCCGTCTCTGCTTAACACAGGTTTGCAAAGAAGGCAGCATGGGATCATCCTGACTCCAGTGTGTTTCAAAACTGTTGCAAAGCATAATTATAATTATCAGCTGTCATCTGGAGAAATGCTGAACGGTTGTTTCAGGATGAAGCAGGTAGAGCTTGTGGTATTAACCTTACAGTTAACAACCTGATATTTTCATGCCCCAATGTCTTGTGGTTTTTCATTCTTCTCTATGTAAAAGTAAAAAGAATGGGAGTTTGTTGGTCTGTTTTACTGCATAATGTGTTTGGTTTGTAAGGGAGCATTTTAAAACTCATTTGCTCTTATTAATGCATTTCTTCTCTTAATAGCCAACAACTCCACCAAGCCAAGGGAGGCCCGATTCACCAGTTTATGCTAATTTACAAGAACTGAAAATATCTCAGTCTGCACTTCCTCCACTACCTACAAGTGCTCCGGTCCAAATAAATGGGGAATGGGAAACCCATAAAGATACTACAGGACGCTATTATTACTACAACAGAGGAACGCAGGAGCGAACCTGGAAACCTCCACGCTGGGCCCGAGATGCAAGCATAAATAAAGGGGATTCCCAGAGCCATGCAGATCCTGAGGTAGCTCTTTTGGAGATCACAAACATGGGCTTGTAACGYGTGGGACTGCTGTTCTGCTATGGAGTTTGATAATGATTTAATTTCTGATCAGATCTCTAACTTAGAGATTTGAAGGAGTGTCTTCGTTGGTCTGTACAGTCACTTGGCTTGATATGAAGTGATAAACACGAGCAATTATCTTTGTGTTCGTTGTGTGTGCAGCAATGAGTACGTGAAGTGTACAAGGGATCCAAAACATCAGTGCTTGCAATTATGGAACTGCTTCAGAGTTTCTAAACTGTGTGTTGCAGTTTTTGTTTCAAAGGGAGAAACTAATAAGAAATTTTGTACCTCTGCAATATGCAYCTGCCAGGGTTTGCAGGTAGACTAGGGTAGCTCTTGTGCTGTGGAGCACATTCCCTGTCCCCATGTGCTCACAGCACGGCTGCGCTTTCAGAAACAGCGTCTGGGGGAAGCAGGGAGATGCTGCAGCTCCCTCTCGAGAGGGGAAGAGTTAAGGGAGAAGGAAAAGGTTCAAATTTGAATCATCCCTTCCCGAGTTGTTGGAGGTGGAAGAATCACAGTGCACAGAGGTAGGACTTGTTGGGGCTTTTTGCCTTGGCCTCTGCTTGGGAGATTTGAATTTAGGTGTTTGTTGAGGGCAGGWTCTGTGTAGATCCTTAGATGAGAGCTTTAAAAATACTGCTCCTTTAATGTTGTTCTAAGTTAGCTTTGAGAAAACCTTTCTCTTCATTCTGGAATGATATCTGGGTATCTTAAACACAAACACTGCCATGCTAGGAGGTCTGCCTAGCCGTGGGGTAGAGGCTTGGAGGAGAGCAGGGAGGGAAGGGCTTGTCCCAGCTTTTGGCAGCCTGGCCAGGGAGCTTCTGAGGAGATAGCCCCGAGACGGCAAACACCGGGTGCATCCCTGGGTGCCTTTTGTCATTTGTGTAATCCCTTACACCGAAGCTAGAAGGCCGCCTTGGGTTGTCCTGCGTGGCCTCAGATCTTGCTTAAGACAGTTAAAACTTGATACAGAGCTCTTTAAAASCAGTAGTATTTCTGCAGTGCAGATACACTGAGTGCAGCTGGCTGCTGCGGAGAGCCGGGCAGTGCTGGTGTTTCACCTGCAGGGCTTCAGCTAACGCACAGCAGCATGGTAGAGATGCAGATTGCCATTTAAACGTGCTTTAAATAGCACTCTTAAAATAGCTCTCTTGTATTCAAACCGTACTTAAGCTAATCAGCTTCCCACTGAAAGACAAAACAAACATCCAGCAGTAAATCTTCCACTTCCGTGTGCCCTTTAAAATAAACGTACGTATATCGTTTTGCCAGACTCTCTGTTGAGCTGCTGGTCCTGCRCAGTGTTAACATTTAATTTTGAGTGGCTCTAGAGCCTTAGCTTGCTGGGAGCCCTGGTGCAGAGGTCTGACCTGGCTCCCAGGTGCCAGGAAGGGACGAGAGGCCCTGGGCAGCTCCCCCCTCGCTGGCACTGGCAGCAGTCCCTGTCTTCTCCTCTGCTGCTGAACTGGGGAAGTGTCTCTCAATGTCACGGCACCATCTCTGGGGATTGTCTGTTAATTCCTCACTCAACCTTTTGCCAGGTAAGGCTTTGGCTCTCCTGACATGCCAGATAACTGTTGTTTGGGGGCTGAACACTCCCTACAAGGAATTGTTTCTTTTGTCGCTGTTCTTCCCCCCTCTTCGTGGCTGGGGCTTCCAGTAAACCTYGGTTTTTCACCTTCCTCATCTGCAAAGGAGGCATCTGTCCTGTTCCCACCTCTGCGCTCGCTGCCACTTCATCTTGTGGCTGCATGCTCAGAAACCCTGATTTTTTACTCCATGTTACAATTCACATTTTTCCAGGACAGCTCAGTTCTTCAGTTTATTTGTGAAGCTTAACGCRTTTGGCTTTCAGATAATTTGTTTACCAAGCCTTCAGTCATTGTAATAATTAATGAAAGCTGATGTAAATTATTTTAGTGGAGTAAGTTGAATTGGCTTTTGCAGGACTAGTCTAAGTTATCCTCAGTTTCTGGCACATTAAATGCCACTTGTATCTCTGGTAGTTTGTCCTCAGAGCAGTTGGTAGCTTATACTAGATACCAAAATGGCAAGGTGAATGAAAATAAAAAATGTATCAACAAAGTATCTGTCCTGTAGAAAAACAGCAATATTGCCTTTAAATTGTAGGCCAGACATCTTCAACTTCTTCTAAGTATTCAGCATTTTCTCCTTGCCCTGACAGTSTTAGAAACACTTTAAGTGGGAGATCAGAAATGCCTCCTGAGGTGCTTCCCTCTTTGTGGGTTCTGTGTGCACACTGATCTCTGCCCTGAAGAACTTCCCTTTAAATGGAAAAACAAGGTGGTAGAAAAGATGACATGGGGGCATTTTCCTAATCASTTTTCCAGTCCTGTGGCTCTCTTGGCAGGTAGGAGGTTTGTGGGGAGGCTTCCAGCRATGCCATTGGGAAGGAGCAGGGAAGGTGGATCGAACAGCAGAGAGGTGAAGAGCATGAGAACAGTTAGTGCTGTAGAAATGGAGAAACTGGAACTGAAAATTGTTGAATGTGATTGAGGCAGAGTTCTCTTTGACCCCCATTTAAGCAGCTTTAGTGTTTGTCCTACTAGCTGAGGGATAAACAAAGCCTTGGCTTGATAAACTTAGTAACAACTTAGGAATTTTGTTCGTGTTTAGATCTGCAAAGGTTAACTTCCTAGATTGTAGTAGGTGGGATTAGTTAAGCCTTGGAACAGCAGCACTATTATTATACAAATGCGTTGCGGATAGTTGCAATGCGTAATCCTTCTTACCATGCCATTTTTTTTCCCTAGCAGAACTTTTACTTGGGAACTCTCTATTTTAGTTTTAAATGTGATGGTGGAACTTCAGTATCTGAACTTGCTTGGAAGAGGTAAACACAGTTACAGAATCACAGAGTTTTTGAGGTTGGAAGGGACCTCTAGAGACCATCTAGTCCAACCCCCTGCTCCAGCAGGGACACCCAGAGCACGGGGCACAGGGCGGCATCCAGGCGAGTTTGGAAGATCTCCAGGGAAGGAGATCAGACAGAGCCAGGGCTCTGTCACCCTCACAGGAAAGAAGCTCTTCCTCATGGGGAGATAGAACTGCCTGTGTTTCAACTTATACTGATTGCCCCTTGTCCTGTCACTGACCACCACTGAAAAGAGTTTGCCCCCATTGTCTTTCCATTATCTGTCAGTAATTCCTGAAAATAGAAAACTACAAAGTTTCTGTTTTGATCAAATCTGAAGATGATATTTAGTAATGTAAACARTGTGCATGTGCCTTAGATGCCTTATAACTAGCTGTTAAAATCAGAGCAATACAACTGCTGACTTGTCTAATTCAGGTCTTCAGCTACCGAGATGGAGGGTTCTCTTACCTGTGTTTAAAATCAGTGGCTCCCACCTTCCCCTTATGGCATGTGTGGGAAATGTGGCATTAACGTGTGCCCTGTAGGTCCTTGAAGACATTCACATCTTTCAYTTTGCTTTGTTGTTGACTGAAGGACTTCCTATAGGTTTTGCTGTGCTTCAGAAGCAGCTTCACGTCTGTTTAGGGAGTCTCTCTCAGGCAAGTTATAAACTACTCCAAAAGAGAAGATTCAGAAAAACGTAACAAATCCATATAATCATTTGGAAATCTCTGAGAATACTTGGTCTTAAAAAAAAAAAAAAAAAAAAAAAGACTGGCTTAAAAATCTGAATTGCTAAGACAAAAAATCTTTTCAGGATAGTAGTTCTTGCATAACTCAAAATTTGATTTTCAGCCTTGTAATTTTCCTTACAACCCTTTGTGGTTTCCCTTGCAACCCTTATCCTTGTCCCGTAGAGCTTCTGGCCATATTCAACTATCACCAGGTTCAAATGGCAAGATTCAGCCCCCCTCAGTAGTTGCTCTCGCTGCTTGCCTGGAAGCCGGGGAGGGCAAAGGGATGGGCCCTGGTGTGAGCTCGGGAGACTGTTTGGTGGCACTGCCGTGTTGTTGCTGTGGGAGATGGAAAGGAGGATCCRTGTGGCATGGAGCAGATACTTCCAGGAATGCTGCTTCCCATTAGCAAGGAGATGAGCAAGCAGGAGTAGGGGATAGAAATGGGTTAAGGGGTKTGTGTTGTGTTTTTTTTTTTCTTTCCASTTTGCATGCCAGTCTTGTTCTTTACATTATAATTCATTTCTGTCTTCAGAAAAAAATCTCTTGCCGCTCGGATACTTGTGACTTCCCTCACTGTAACATCTGCCTTTTGGTTGTTCATTGTCTCATCTGTCAGAGTTGGAAAAATGAGAGTGGAAATTCCTGATATTTCGGGATGCGTTGCACAACTCCTGTGAAGTGCTGGCCCTTAAACAGATGCAGCTGCAGTTGTGAACTATCCCTAATGTTTATTGTGATTTTGTGTGCTGCTTGGGAAGGGATGAAAAGGATTTAGGTATGAACAACTGGGACGTTGCCAGAAAACCGAAGCATCAGGTCTTCCAGCTTGCCTGTGCAATCTAGATTATTAAAGCTAACCCATTTCATCATTCAGTAATGTAAATTGATGGGAATAAAATGTAGGTTGAAAACAATTGGAGTGAAAACTAGTTGATTGGAAGCAGTTGTTTCCAATAGTTTGTTTCCAAGTGTTTCCATAGTGTTTGGTTAGTTGAAACTTGGTGTCATGGAACAGATAAAGCTGGATCGCTCTAATGTCAGTCGCACTGGAAATGTTTGGAATCACTTATCACTTATTTTTAAGCTAGTTATCAATATTTCTGTACTTTAAAAATGCACCKCTTATTTTCCAATGTAAGATATAAAAGTGTGAACTCCCTGCAAATCACTGCTGTTCTCTTTCTAGCCAAATAATCTTTGCTCTTTCAGATTCTAAAGCATTTTTCATTCTCAAAGCTGCCTTGTGTGTTTCTGACTACTTGTAGCCTCTTTCATCCGAAGAAAACGACCACAGTTCTTGTTACAGCCAGTCAGATAGTCAGTATGGTTCTCCTCCCAAGGGGTGGTCAGAAGAGTTGGATGAACATGGGCAAACCCTATATACCAATGACTATACTAATGAAAAGGTACTTTTTCCTTCTTCTCATCACAAGTGTTCTCAATCCTTTCAGTAAATTCATTGTTCAAAATGGAAATTTCATTTCTAGGGGTAAAAAAAAAAAAAATCCTCCGTGGTGCTACTTATTTATTTATTTATTTAAATGTGCCCAGAACTTGGGCACCTGAACTTGCATGGGTATATTTTTTTCCCCTCCCCKTACACATCTCCTTTATTATATAGTGAAAGTCTTCTTATTTCCATCTGGATATCAAATTATTTTCAATGAACATACCATTTATTATTTCCATCCAGTGCATGTCCATCTTCTTCGTTACACTTCACAAATGAAGTTCCTGTTAATATAACGCTGCTCTTTGTCTCTTAAGAAGAATTATTCTCTTCTGCATATGGCTTTTAGATACAGTAGTTTCAAATAGAAAGTAATGATGATTTTTTTTTTTTTTTTTGAGGCTTTCCATAGTGTTTTCAGATGTGGTCAAATTTAATCATTAGGTAATAGCAGAATCAGAAGACTTACCTAGTTGCTGTTGACAACCTTTCTGTGATTCTCAGCATGTCACAAAAATTCCTTCCATGTATGAAAAAATGACAATAATATTTATACTTGGAGAGCAGTCTTTTTAACTGTTAACAAAAGTTGTGTTTTGATTTTTTATTTTTTAAAACTTGAAAAAGTACTGTTTGAAACAGTGATATATCTATCCTGTTACAGCACTCACTCTTTGCTGGTTGATGTGTGCATATATGCAAGTATTTTTTTTTTTTTTAATGAAACTTCTAAGTGTTTGAGTTTAATTTCCATTTTAGATGGCTTAGCTTTGTTAGCACTGGCTRCGGTCTTTTAATGGATTTCTTTCAGTCGGTCTGCAAATATGTAGTTGTATTTTTTTTCCAAAGTATTTAGCATTTTTATCCTGCGTAATCTAGATATGCAAAAGACATAGAGCATAGACCTCTTTTTTAAGAGGAAAATGCCAGTTTTTAAAATTTGCACTGAGATAGATAGCAATGTTTCATGAAGAATTTACTGAAAGGCAACCTCTATGAATCCCATTTAACTCAACCATGCTGTGAATGTTCATATGCCTATTTTTACATCATCATTTTGCAGATATTTTCCCATTACAATTCTGTCTTTTCGGCAGAACTAGRTGGTTGCAGACTTTTTCGTGTGGCTCTGGGAGCTGCTAATAGAGCTACAGAAATAGCTGCATTATCCCCCCATGACTGAATGAGGAACTGCATCTCATGTGCCTGTTGCTGTTATCAACGTTAAATTGTTTAATAAATCTCTTAAATTATCAGCTGCTTGCTGGTTAGCCTTATCAGGGACCTTCAATGAGCTTCCTGTAATTTTATAATTTTATCTATAAAGTCTTGACACTGATTTGATGCAAAGGCTGCTTGCTTAAGTTGCCATCATAATGTTGAGGAGCATTTAATATGTCATCTTGTGCAAAATACCTCTTTATCACAACTTCTTTACATGAATCATCAAGACTTTCAGTAATTATGATACTGCAGGACTGTTTTCTGGGAAGTTACAGCACGAAAACATGATAGTGAATGTGGTTCAGGGGGCTGAGAAGTGGAATGGGCTGCTGGTTTTGCTGCTTGACCTTGAGACTGKTATAGATTTCCTATGTTATGGCTGTCACTCATGACTTTTCCTGTCATCACCCTTGTTTCTGCAGTGGCTAAAACACGCAGATGAGCAAGGTAGACCCTACTACTACAGTGCCGATGGTTCCCGATCGGAATGGGAGTTACCTAAGGTGAGTGACCCGGAACAGGCCTGGGGGGAGACGGTCACTACACGAGGACTTGGTCGTTGTCTTTATTCAGTCAGGAATGACACCAAAAATGCAATGAAGACAAAATGAGTTATACTAAAGGACACCACAAACAGGTATCCTGTAGAGCAGTATTAAGCTATCAAGGGACATGTTGCATCTCTACTGAACTTGGGTGTCTGGTTTTGTTGTCATAATGACAGATTACATAAAGGGAAACTGCAAGTTTTTTCTTTTTTTTTTTTTAACTTTACAATGTTCCTGAAAAACCGTAGTCGTCTTTTAGTACCTTCCAAAATGCATTTTTGTCAGGTATTTCTGAATTTTATTGTTTGGATCTTATATAGATGTGTTTTTATTCATTTATTGTTGTATGGAGAGGTTGAAAACTAAAAATGTCGAGAATATTGTCCAGTATCTGAGGATACACTTGTGAGGATGACACTGATCATTTATTGCAGCTGTGTTGTRGTATTTATTCAGTTTGAAATAACAGCTTTTGTGGGTAACTGACACAACTAGGGAGACCTGGTAGTGTTAGGATATCCCTAAAACTATCTAACTCTCATTTTCACTTTCAAAAACTTGTCATCGTGGTGTAGTTTTGTGTGTACGTCTTTCCCTGGAGCTGGGGTGTTTGCCCAAGGCCAGGTTGAAATACGACAATAAAGTGATTCATGGAGAAATGCATCATCCATTTACAGAAGAACATGTTGCTCAACTGTTTTGTTCCATGAGTTGAAAAACTGGTGTCCTGAGGCGTTTCCCCTTAGAAGAGGGCAACCTTTATCTATAAATGTTTACGAAGGAAACTGTACACCAGAGTTCTTTGTTTTATGAGCAGAGTAATTGTATCTGAGTCACTGGAAATGTTGCTTTTAATAGATTCTCAATGTGATGCTAGGTATCTTTTGTGGCCTTTATAAACCTAACAATGTGTCTTTACTGATTTTAAATTTTACATAGTTATTGAGCTTAATTAGACTAATTAGAGGTCTCAGGTTCTGGTAGAACAGGTTTTACCAAAAGCAATTAGCTTGTAGTGCATGATATATTTTTTTGGAAACAATATTTTGGGTACTTCATTCACAGAATCACAGAATGGTTGAGGTTAAAAGGGATCTCTGAAGATCATCTAGTCCAACCCCCCTGCTCCAGCAGGGACAGCCAGAGCACGTTGCCCAGGACCCAGTCCAGGTGACTCTTGGACATCTCTAAGGATGGAGTCTCCACAATCTCCCTGGGCAACTTTTTTTTTTTCCAGTTAGTGCTCAGTTGTCCTCACAGTGAAGTTTTTCCTCATGTGTAGATGGAACTTTCTGTATTTTGATTTGTGCCCATTGCTTCTTATCCTCTCACTGGACACCACTGGAAAGGGTCTGGCCCCATCCTCTCTACTGTCTCCCTTCAGATACTTGCACACATTGATAAGATCCCCAWTCAGTGTTTCCTTTTCCATCTCTCTCAGCCTTTCCTCACGTGAGAGATGCTCCAAGCCCCTGGACACCTTTGTAACTCCACACTGGACTCTCTCCAGTAGCTCCATGTCCCTGTTGTACCAAGGAGCCCAGGACTGGACACATGGCTCCAGATGTGGCYTCAGCAGAGCCAAGTAATGGGGGAGCCTCCCCTCTCTCGACCTGCCACAGCCCTCCTCTCCTAATGCAGCCCAAGATCCCCGTGGGCTTCCTGGCTGCAGTGACATTTGCTTTCTTCCAGTCCTCAGATGSTTCTTTTCCTCATCCTTACAAAGATGACTGAGAGTGGCCTAGCAGTGATGCCCACCACCATGGGTCTMTTCCATCAAGGCCCATGTCAAGTTTGTCTGAATGATCTCTAAGCAGATCCTCTTTGACCAAGGAAAAGTCTTCCTTTCTCCAGACTTTCTCCTTGGTCCCTAGGGTCGTTTTCACTTCTGCAATGCAGAAAGCTTTGACTGTGACRCAGTTTCTTGCTAAAGAGTTTTGGATTTGAATCATAGCTAGTGGAGTTGTTGTTAATTCAGCTACCAGGGGTCTCTCAGATAATCCAGCGCTGCTGTCTGAGGCATATCAGTATAAAGAGATGAGATACAAAGAGCAACAAAAATGATTAAGGGACTGGAACATCTATCTTGTAAGAAAAGACCGAGTGAGCTGGGCCTGTATAGCCTGGAGAAGAGAAGATTGAGAGGGGATCTGATCGATATGTGTAAGTATCTGAGGGGAGAAGGCAGGGAGGAAGAGGCCAAGCTCTTCTCAGTGGTGGCCAGTGACAGGACAAGGGGCAATGGAAACAAGTTGAAACACAGGCAGGTCCATCTCCATGTGAGAAAGAACTTCTTTCCTGTGTGGGTGACAGAGCCCTGGCACRGGCTGCCCAGGGAGGTTGTGGAATCTCCTTCTCTGGAGATCTTCCAAACCCGTCTGGATGCCGCCCYGTGCTCTGGGTGTCCCTGCTGGAGCAGCGGGTTGGACTAGATGWTCTCTAGAGGTCCCTTCCCACCACAACCATGCTGTGGTTCTGTGAGATCTGGCAGTGGTGCACTGACGTACCACAGTCCAGTGCTTCTAGCGCTGCCCCTAAAGCTCCCTTGTATTAATGACACCTACAGAATGAAAATCAGTCTCTATCTCATAGTTTGTGGTCTGGTACACTTTAGTTCTCATTTATGTGAAAACAATCAACTGTTGCTCTTAATTTTCAAGGAAAATACTCCGTCTGCTATTTATTAGATCTTGAAACTACTAAATCYTGAGGGACCACAAATAGGTTAATAGAAGTAAATGAACAATTGATTTTTGGATCACTAACTTGTTTATTGTCTGCAATCCCTAGCTTTAAACTTTAAATGTTGTAGACCAAATTTCAGCAAAAGTTTTAGCTCGTGTCTGTGAAGATCTGAATCATATACAATACAAATGGCAAAAAAATCTGTGAATATTTAAAGTGTGACTGAAGAGCAGCCTCCCAAAAAACTCACTGAAGCCGTTCCAAAAGTACTTGGGAACAAAGAAATTGGGAAGACTATGTAGACTGCAGAGCTGCTGTGAAGAAAAATAAATAAAATTTATATTGAGAACTTCAGGGAGTAAGGAGAGAAAAGACCGTAGGAATACTTGTAACTTTTTTTGTGATTTTTGACTTCTTTTTTTATATGAAAATTAATACTGTTGCTTGAAGYGAAAAAAAAAAAACCCTTTAATAAGAAATTAGATGGAGTCTGTATTAAAAGTCCAAGTCACTTTTTCCTCCAACATTTTTAGTTCTTATATTAACTTTCAAAATTTGTTGTGAAATAAACCAGTGGGCTTGCACCATYATGTGTGGCTGTTAAACCACAGGAAGAGCCTTCCCTTTTTAGATCTTTCTGCACCATCTGGAAATCACTTAGAACTAAAAATGATCTGAATGGCTGTGGAAATAACATATTGGCTTAGCTAATATTATGCTATTAATTATTTTCACTTTTGCAGCCTATAACTGAGCATAATGTGAACACACTGTGSAGTAACATCTCCAGTAATCTTAGATGGACTTTTAAAAAACAAGAACAAAGGAATCCCATAAGGGTTTTCCTGTAGAAAAAACAATTGGAAACAATTTGCTTTAGACAGTCTCCCAGAAACCTTTCTAGTCCGGTGTATGAACTGGCACCTGTGAATAACCAGATGCTCTAGCTGAAAACAGTGTCTTGAATGGAGTAGCTTTGACAGCTCTTGAAAATTCTGTGAAGTCTTTTCAAGAGTTAGACCTGTGATTTTGTAGTGGAGCTGAAGATTTTGTAGTGGAGCTGGGTTATTCTTTAAACTAACTAATGGTATTTACCTACAGCTTGCAGAACACTTTGCAGAATGCTTCTGTTCTCCCACATGCTGAGTTCAGTTGTCAGTTCTTAGATTATTTGTTTTTCAAAAGGAAATAAAGCAACATCTATAAATTCTTTTCCAAATAATTCAGTATGATAAAATAGCTTTATTTCTTGCACAGCGAGTGAATAATATATGAATCTTACTGACATAGCCCTATTCCAAACACATAGTGGTTTTCTAATGAGAGCTTTATAGTTCATACAAATGGGAAATCAGTATTAAGATAAAGTTAAATTGATCTTAGAACTGACACCTCATTTCTAAATTTAAAAATCTATCAAAATGAAAAAAAAGGCAAGGGAAATTTTATAATAGATATTGAGGAAATCAAGCTCAGGAAGGGGCAAAGAGAGGACAGCCAAATAGAAGTGGTATAGATTAATAAGTTTTCAAAATGCCTTTCTAGGCACACGTGCAACATCCTGGTGTGGTTACAGGCATCCTCTACCTGAGCTCTGTAGTTCCAGAGTTGCCTTGGAAAGAAAATGCTTGTGCTGTAAACATCAGGGTGAATTGAGAGCTTTTGCTGCTAATATTTACCCCAGCTATGTTACCACAAGCGTGACTTCCTTTTAAAAGAAAATCAAAATGTCACTTTCCTGTCTTTTTTTTTTTTTCCCACTTCCCTTTTCGTTCTGACTTGAGTATTTATTTTGCATGTGATGTCCTGACTGTGCAAGCACTGATGTCTTGGGCCACATATGGACCTTACCAGTGCCAGCTTTGCATTCTGTGGTCTTGGCTTTGGAGTCCTAAACACTGACACAGGAAAAGTAAAGATGAATCTAGGCAGATTATTTGTCAGATGTTAATCAAGCCTGCTAAAGATTGATCAGGTTTACTGGCATGGCAAAAAAAAAAAGATGTTAAAGTTTCAGAGGAAGTAATTGCAGATTTGAAAGAAAAGCAGATTTTGGTGTTGATCAGAACTATTCTGTTACTTTAGGTAATCATGTCTTTCCTCAARAGTCATTTGAAAGGGAAGCTTCAGGTTGTGAGCTAATTTAAAAAAAATCTACTTGTCCAGTGTGGAAATCAGAATTAAAGATGAGTGGAGAGGTCTTATGGCATTAACTGAAATGATGCATAGGATTCAGTACCTGCAGATACAGAGTAATGTGCTGGCCTCTGCATTTGTAGTAACAGGCTCTAAAGCAGCCACTGCTTTTTTTGAGACACGGTTAGGATTTTTTCTAGGATATCAAAGTATTTTTTAAATGCCATTCTGCTGATTTTTGGCAGCAGGAGAGCAAATTATAATGTTTAACTTGTGTCTTAACCAAGTTTCTTTCTAAGTTGATTCCCCCTCTTTTCTCCTTTCACCCACCCAGTTCCTTCCAGTTGGCTATGGATGATGCTAATGCAAGCAAAGAAGAATCCTTATTGTTCTGTTTCTGAAAGCTGACAGAGCTGTTTGATCCCCATGGGAGTGGGGATGACAGCTACAGAGAGCCCACTGTTAGGCTAGGACAGAGCCTTGAGCCGAGCCATGTTATCAGGTTAAAATTAAATATAAATCACTTGGCCAGTTGAGGAGGTTTAAAAAAAATGAAACTGAGACAAAGAAAGCTTTAAAGTAGCTGGTGAGGTGTTGAATTAATTCAGTGATGGGAATTACATAGCGTGACCTGAATTTACATCACCCTCTGCACAAAGACCTGTTACACCAAGTGACACAGACTTGTTGGTGTATGTGGACTATGAGGAGCCATTTAATAACACATTTGCTAGCAAAAGAACTGATAAAACTGTGGCAGAGTCTAAGCATAGAAATACCATTCCGTGTGAGGAAAGGGGAACCCAACTTGGTCACTTTGTGTTGCCAAAATGTGGAAAATGTCGCAGCGAGTGCCCCTGACGGGGAGAGCAGCCTCTGCACGTGGCTGTGCTGTAGAGGACTGGGCAAAGAACCGGACCTGAAGCTGCTGTGTGAGGCATTTTGAACAAGAAAACTAAAGAATAAGAGGGGGAATTCACTCACTGCCAGATTTTATTCTTAGTACTGCAAGATCCTTTCAGTTAGGAGTATTATACTAATGTTAACACATGTTGAAATAATTTAAATGAACTGCTGAAATTATCATTTACCATTTAAGCACCTGCTGGTTTATTGGAACTATATGAATAGTAAAATATAAAGCTACCAACACAAGCACAGCGTCTGCCTTGGCAGGCAGTAATAATGTTGGCCCTTTATTTGGATACTAATTATGGCTGCATTATGTTACTTAGCTTAAATCTCACTGTACTCTTGTACATTATTATTCTGTCTTTGAAGACCTGAGGCTCCAAGGTTTCTGTTGCAAATTTCAGCATCTCTGTAGAATACAGAAGGCTTTTAAGGAATACTGTTTAGCCTTTTTTAAATAAAACCCTTGGCTTTCTTCTGTTACATCTTACCTTTCCATTTTGATGGATTCTAGCTGTTCATATGACTCTACAAATACTGCCTCCTGTTTCTTTCAATGTGCAATTTTTCCTTTTCTAACACTKCATAGAAGGAATGAGATTTTTTAGCAACTTGTTATTTATGAGTACTATCTTTTCTTCTTTGTGTTTATCAATATTAAACTTTATTTTAAATATTTGCATAATTCTTTACTACATGAATGTTGGTGTGATCACTTGACGAGGCTGTGCCACTGATGATGTGTGGGCTGCAATCCTGAGATGTAGTTAAAAGTCCTTCTGAGGGACTTGACATTTTCTCAACTTGTGCATCTTTGGATGCAGTTGAGTTATTAGAAAGCTCTGTTCTGATATATCCGGTATCTCTTGTGCATTTGTAGCTCTCCTGAATCCTAAGATTATTTCCTGTTAAATATTTAGGTTATGTGCTTACATGTAAATATTTATGTTAAGTACATTCCACACCAACAAGTCTTTCTTAGTAGTTTGACGTAGTCTGTTCTGAAAAGTGTCTCCACTGCCTCAAGTTGCCTTTCCTAGACCTGCAAGACCGTTGGGTCTAAGGGAATCGCATCCACCACATCCAGTCATAATTCTCTGTGAGAAGGATTTACTGTAAAATTGCAGGATTTCCCTCAAGTACACAAGAGCTCAGCTGGTGGCTGAGAACTGCTGGGGCAGCACAAAGCGTGTGTTCAAAGCCTGTCGTGATTCTGGTGTAGGCTGCAAAGGTTCTCGCTCCTTGGTGCTCCCCAGTAGGCTGGTTGGTTGGAAAGGGGGCAGGAGGCCCTTACACCAGAAGTCAAACGTCTCTGGTCAACCAAAGCCCTGTCCTAAGAAGCCAGTTTTAATTACAGCCTTAGGGAAGGCTGCTGCAGACCAGCTAGAGCTGCATACTAAGTGCAAAATGAAAGGGTGGCTGGTTTGCCTCCTCTTGGGTGAAATCAGGAATCTGAACGATTRCACTGTTAAGACATATGAATGGTCTTATATTCTGCTCATAGCTTGATTTTTCTCTCCTTCAGTATAATGCTTCACCACAGCAGCAAAGAGATATAATAAAGAGTAGGAGCCTGGACAGGAGGCTGCAGGAACCAATAGTTTTAACAAAATGGAGGCACAGCACAATTGTGTTGGACACCAATGACAAGGTAGGAGCGAGTTAAACAGCTACGCTGACCCTCTTTGCCTTTGCTCTGAGAAATCAGTGCACACTGACTTCTGAAATCTCCTTTTCTTCTGTCTCTCTGTGTATAATACTCAGTTAAATCAAGGTCTATCTGATAATCTTGCTATTGTTACTTTGTACGTAACGGCCTATTTCTTGTTGTCCTTGAAATGTTTTAACTTGTGTTAGTTCAGCGTTTGTGTGAGGCCATTTTATTTATAATTGGCAACTTCCTTTAATTTCCTGTGCTTATTCCTTTAACTGCACCGTTGCTCTCCAGAGCAACACGCCGAGGAAGGAGAAGAAGTTGTGCTTTGGTTGCAGCAGGGACGTGATGCTGTTTATAAAGGGATACTGTCTTTATAAAGGGAAAAATGGAGTGAAATGAGGGTAGACTTGGGGGGATGGAGAAAGGGTGCTGAGCTCTGCATTACAGGTGCCAAAGTCTAACTTAAATGGACAAAACCAAAGCAGCTCAAAATAGATCTCCTGTCTGGAATATTAGGTATTAGGCTAGTATTAGGCTAATATTATATATTAACCTGTGCTTTCCTTAATTTTTAAAAACTTTCCCTGTTGAAATTGAGAATTTTTTAAAGAAAAAGAAAAAAAAATGTGAATGTCGAGATTTGACTGAACTGCTCAGAGAAAGATTTGTTGGGTTGTGTCTTAAGATTTTGAGCTGTTGGTTTAGGATGTCATACGTGGTGCTGAGGAGCCAGTGGACTAAGCTGGGCTGGAGAGGACCCAGTTTGCACCTGTACGTGGTAGTTCAGCCTGAGCAGTTCTGAGGGCTGCCCCTTCATCCTCTCTCTGCCTCCTTAGCRGCATCTTTCTTTACCAAATGTGATTTGTGACTGCGTAGAAGAAGCTGGATGGAGCCTTCAAAATCGTAGCTGAGGTGAAAGTTCTGGCCAGGTTTATACTTCGTAGGACTGAATGATTCTGTTGGAGCTAAACTTAATATTGTGGCCTAAGCTTTAAGGAAAGACTTCACCCTTTCCTATTTTTGTTTTGTTTTCTGGTATAAACAATTTAGTTTGGCTTTGGAATGGCCTCTGGATACCTCTGCTCTGAATGGGGATGCTATGGTAAAACATACCATACATTCAGCAGTTTCCTATGCAAAGTTKACTCTTTTCTTCAAGACCCAGTGCTCCAGTTCCAAGAGTTGAACCCAGTGAAACAAAGAAGTATYTAATGTGGCAGCCAGACTTCAGTATGTACCACTTGGAACATTTGCAGATCCAATAGCTTCAAGTTTCTCTAATTTTAGCAGCYGCAGAGCAAGCAGGCAACACGCACTGCTTAACAGTTTCATGTGTTAATGCTCTGGGAAAATTAAAAATAATGAGGTGGAAGAATAAAATAGTACTTTGTGGAAGGCCATGTAGATTTTAGTGCGTTGATATATGGGCTTTATCGCCCCTGGCAGTTCCGTACACTGGTTTAAACTGGTGTGTGATGAAGGAAATTGTTCGTGGCCACAGAGACTAAGCTGCTTGTTCCAAAGCTGCTTAGTGTATGAAAGCTCTGTGAAATTCACAGTGAGTTGGAAGAAAACTGGCATTTGGCTAAGCATGAGCATCGACCCACTATTATCCATGTAGCTACCTCGCAGGAAGGCTGTTTTCATGCAATTTCCCTTGTTCTGTTTTTCTTTATTTTTTTCTTGGAAAAACAACGTAACTCAGTCCTCTGAAAACAGGCCCATGAGCGTGCTAGAAATGTGTCCAAGTGCATGTATGGGTTGCAGTGGCAGACGAGAATATGATGATCCCAAATAGACTTTATAGCTGTGGATTGGCAGTACRCATTTGTAGCCAGCAGGATTTACCCTACTAAATAATTTGGCAAATGAAGAAAACTACCTTTCTACAAAGGTGCAGGACAAAAGCAACACCCCGACTGTGGGAACTTTCTCTATGGACATCTGAGAGCCTGGAGCAGTTAGTTCATTTTTAAGGATGCTAATGCTCTCCAGCAGCACGACAGGAGAAGGGTTTGCAGGCAGCTTTGGTAGGTAGATTTACAAGTGGATTTTAAATTGCAGCCGTGCAGACTGTTAYGTAATATTGGGAGCAAAAAACATTTTGCTCAAGTAGGAGTCCAGAATAAGGGAGAAGTATTAAGGATGTTATAAAAATGCGGAGGTTGGAGGAGGGGGATGTGTTAACGACAACAAAGAACAAAGGGCTGTTATTTGAAAWTCTTTACCAGATTTTCAAGCCATTTATTTGTGCAAAACAATTGTTACTTGAGAGAAAATACATATGTCTTTTTGATTCTAGCTGGGCATTTTCTCAAGTTTTCTAAGGCTTAGTGCTTTTTCCTTTTTTGATCCATATTTAATACCTAATTTAAGATACAAAACAGTATCTAGAAAATTTCAGTTCTCAGCTGTGCAAAAATTACTAACTTACAAATATTAGTAGAGCTTATATGTTCTTTTCTACATGAAAAACTGCATGTACTAATCTTAACAGCATAGACATAATCTTTTCTTTAGAATCGTAGTGTTTTATCACAGTGTCCTTTATCAAGTCAACGTTATGAACGTACTTTAAGATTTTATGGCAATGTTGTACAACAGTTTTGTTCCTTAATAAGGATGAAGGCTTTGCTTTTAGTGCATACTATACTTATTATTAACATTTTATATTCAGGTAGACATGTGCTTATTAACCTGGTTTGATTTCAGTCTTTAAGACTTTTAAGAACTCTCTGTAGCCAGCAGCTTTATAATACAAATATATCAGAATATCATGTATGCTTCAAAAAACCCACTCTGTTTTAACTAAACCTTGTGACCAGCAATGTAAATTGATTTATCTGTCTGCTTGTATATATTTATACATGTCTAGTGTGAAAAAAGTTAAACAACAAGAAACTTTTTTTTTAAAAAAAAAGAATAACTTGTATTATCTATTGAATTTTTATAGGATTTATCAACTGCTTCTAAGGCGAATTTTCCTGAAAATGAATCTTCTCCTTCTTCACCAAAGCATCAAGCCACAGTCAGTATGCCTGTTGTCTGAATATATAAGTAGATGTTGTCTGAATATATAAGTAGATGTTGTCTGAATATATAAGTAGATGCTGTAGAAACTGGGCTATTTATAATTAGATACTTTGAGAGCAAAACTGCTTGTGTTTTGGAGAAAAATAATGGTTAATGTTCCTTTCAAAAAGTAAAGCCTTAGAATCATGCTTTGCATCTAAACTGCTATGTTTCAAGGAATTAAAAACAGGCACAAAGGAAAAGTAGGTCTCCTTGGTTTAAATACGGTTTGGTGTTGGGGAGATTGAGTTAGAAACTGGTTGTAGAATAAAGTTATGTCAAGTTATGGTATTTATCTTGTCAGTTGTGTCTCCTCGCCTAGCAGCTTGGAAGGTAGGAGCCAAACCCAAACACCCTTCGCTCCTTAAAAACCCCCTTGCTGTTGGCAGGCAGCTTCTTTTTTTATTGATGGTGGATTTTTTTTTTTTTTGCTTGTTTCTGTTTTTTATTTCTGTTTCAATCTCCTTAAAAAGATTTAGGAATCATGAGGACACGGCATAATTAAACAGTGGGAAATAATGCAATGTGTGAAGCACTTCCCCTTTGATTTTAAGAACTGCAGTAGCACTGAAATGTGTCCCCTATGGAATTTKAGTGGTCCTTTAGGAGGTAGTTGAGGGCATTAAAGGCATGAGTTTTGTTTCATCCTCACTGTGTGCACAGAGAAGTGGTTCTCTGCCTTATACATCTCATCTATTCTTATGACTTTTCATATTGTTCTCCACGGTTTATTTACTAAGAAGTGTTTTTGATAGCCTTGCACACAAGCAATCATTGTTGCATATATCCTGTTTTAAATATAGCTCAGACCTTGTATTGTAAAAAAACTGTATTTTGTATGAGAAGTCACTGCTGGGTTTAGGTTACAGAAAAATGCCCACGTTTTGGCTGTCTCCTGATATTTAAATTCCAACCTTTAAATTCTGAATCTTTTTGCATATTTGGATCCTTAGTTTGCTTTCCTTCTCCCATTTCCCAATTAAACATTATGTTAATTTTCCTATTAGTACCTAGAGAAACCTAACCTCTAACCCCCTATTGTTGCTGCTAAGTAGGAGATGATGGTATTTATCACCTTAGGCTGTTCAATTTAATAAGGCCAAAGGCTTGTTAAGAAGGTGCCGCACGTAAGATTGCTAGTGATCCGTATAGATCACAAATAATGTAAAGAAGGGTCTAATTTTAGAATTAAATTTTGATTCATTTCTCCCAGAGAAGATGTGAGCTTTAGAAAATGAAGGACACTTGTCATTAGCTTGGGAAGAACTGTGTATTTGTTGAAAGTTGTCCTTCAGTACTTCAGAAAAAAAATAAAAATCAGTATCCTTTTCTGCATTTATAGGCCATTTAACTTTGATATTTAGAATAGAATGGTAGAGATGGTGTGTTTTTTTCCCCCTTTAATTATTTTTTCACTGGATCTAAAACTGGATGTTTTGTTAGGATAAAGCCAATTTGGATTCTTTCCCCAGTTGATTGTTTCAACTAATAGCTTAGTTCTTAAATTGGGAACTGCTAAGAACATTTYTGCAGTTACTGAAAAGGAATTGATTAGGAAAAATTGAATGCTTCCCTAGCACCATTCACTGGTAGGACAAAGAGGACTTGATATGAGAAAATTATAGAATTTATTAGCTCATTTCCAATTTTAACACAGAATATTTTTTCTAAGCAATCTTTATGTGCTCTTATAAACCAAATATATTTATCTCCTGACCTCTCACATAGTACTAGTCATGTTCACAGGTTRATTTCCAAGTTAGTACAGAGGCAGACCAATGCAGAGGATTTGCAGCCACAAGACAGAACTAAGTAGTTCAGAATTCTAACCTTTTGCTTGGGGCTAGGAATAAAAAGGACATCAAAGAAAAGCTTCACTCAGTTGTTTTTAAAATGAATATATTCAATGTTTTTATGCAGTGCAAGCATGTTTTATTTAAAATATGCAATTATGCTAGAATAACTTTGACAGAAGAATTCAGATTTAAGACTGATTGCTTGTTGGTAATCTTGTTTTTCAAGTACGAGTGTGCTAGCACACAAATCCTTACACCTTTATGTTTGRAATTTCCATTGTTTCATGCAGCGAAGAGTTTGTTGGGCTTGCCCGAGAAACCCAGGTCTTGCAGGAGGGAGGTTTCTTACCTTCAGTGGTGGTGAATGCTGCCCCAGAGGAGCCTGGTTTCAGTGGGCTCTGCATATTTAAATGCACTTACAGTTTCYTGAGGTTGTAATGTAGACAAGAATGGCTCATTGCCAGGAACTGATTATTTTGGGGGGTTCAATTCAGTGCCTCGATGACTGTTGAAACAGATTTTCTTCTAAATTTATATTTAATTCTATCTTACAGGGTCAAGAGAAATATGGGTTATTAAATGTGACAAAAATTACAGAAAATGGGAAGAAAGTTCGGTAAGTCTCCCCAGCKACCTCTACAAGTATGTTTGCCTGAGTGTGTGCAAGACTTTTGACTTGAGTGTATCATAACAGATAATGCTGAACAAGTATTGCTTTTCCCTTTATCTGATTTGGGTATGCTTCCTCCTCACTTTTTACTTTACTTTTTACTTTAGTTTTTACATTTTACTTTAGTTTCTACATTTACCTAGGCCAGGGCAGCAGTTCTCACCCTGTCTGGTTCCCCAGAGCCAACAGCTCTTGGGAAGTGGCTCATATACTGTGGGATGGTGGCTCCTATACGTTGCCACTGGCGCCACATATAGTCCTTCCTTCTCTGCCTACCCCTTGGTGTGGGCCTGGGCTGTGGGCCACTCAGTGGGAAGCAGCAACATGGCCATCCTGTCACCAGGAATGTCTGGGAACAGGCTGCCAGGCCTTGACAAGCTTCTGATATGTTTCTACCCTCAGCAGGACAGGCACTCAGGCATAAAAACATTTTGTAGTTTTGTGTTTATGTTTAATAGATGCACGAGCACTTCATTGCCAATGTAAATTAGTGCATTATATCAAAGTGGGTCACCCTTAACAAAGTGCATCCCTGTTAAGGGTGACCAGCGACTGATGATGGGTTCCGGGATTGTGCAGTATTCTGCATGTCACTCACTTGGCTGGTGGATCTCCTGCTGAACTGCTTTGCTCTCTGTTAGCCACCTTTGATTTAGGCTTTGATCAAGCAGGGACTATTAGGTTAAGGACCCTTCTACAAATAGAATAGCAATTAGCACTTCCTGATGGCACTAATGATTGAACATGTACTTAAGTATATTAACACACAGGTCAGCTGGCCAGTGATATTGGCTGTAAATATCTCTAAGTCACTCTGTCTGACACTTGTTTGCAAATGTTTGCAGAAAGAACTGGATGTCTTCGTGGGCAGTATTACAAGGCTCCTCACTGCTGTTCACCAAAACCCAAGGAAGTGGAACTGGCTGGGTAAGCTCRAGAACAGGCCCTTCCCCTCTCGCAGCTCCTTCCAACATCAGTGGCATTAAGCACAATAACGTCTATGAATTATTTGTAGGGCTTAAGCACTAAGATGCATGCATAATTGAGAGCTGGGGGAGTTGGTCTGTGGAAGGAAGCTGGCAGGAAGATATTTGAATTTAGTAATTGAGATGCAGAGTGAAAAGAAAATCAGATAGGCCAGCTTGTATTTCCGAAATATTTTTACACTTGATTAAAAAAAAAAAAACTGATAAGCTGCAGGACATCTGAATACCTTCTTATTTTAGTTGAATGAAGAGTGTATAGACTGAAATCTTATTCCAGAGCAAGCATTTTTGGGTTCCTTACAAATATGTTTTCTAAAAGGTTCTTTTTGTCTTACCGTTCTTGGATATCTTTCGCAAAACAATTTCGCAAAACAATTTCACAAAATTTTGAATGCTTTCTATTTATAATGGAGAAACCAGCCTGCTGCTTATTGTCTTGCACTGGAATACGAGAGACGTGTGAGTGGAAAGGGCTCTAGCAGGGCAGGCACAGGCAGGAGGGCTTCGAAGCTCCGGGTGGGCGGCCTGTGGGGCTGCTGTCTTGCATTTCATTTGCTCTCATGAATTCCAGATTTTGTTTTATCTGTAATGTGCATTACAAATATTTGTATCTGTTCTGGTTCTTCTTTTGGGAGTATCAATTGTTCAGTGTTACACTCAAGAGGATAGTTATTCGATGTTTATATTATTTCTAGTTTAATAGTATTTATATTAAAATTGACTCTACTCATTTGCATTCTCGCATTAAGGGAYACAGAAGCGATTGTTTATCTGTAGGTTACTTATCCACTTGGAGAATTCAGATTTTAAACTGCATATGGTTATCCTGTAATAACTAATGGCAGGTCAGAGACACTACTGATTATGCCAGCAAATTGTTGTGCTAATTCCACCAGTGAATGATATATCAGTGAGTGACACATGCAGTTCTGCCAGGCTTTACTGAACTTGCCTAACATTTTTTCTCCCTTTTCATTTTTTTGTTTGTTTGGGACAGTAGTGAGTTGATACTGACCATTCTTTTTTGAATTATTATATTCATTTTCGAGTTGTACACGTCCTTTTTCTGCCTTTCTGTTTCTTTTGGTGGGGTGCTTGCAGAAAATGATAAGGACAGATGAATAACAGCAGCAGGATGGGAGAGAGTAGGAGTAAGGTTGGGCAAGACGGTCAAGCAGATGGGAGAGGAGRAAGGAAGGAAGGAAGTAAAAAATGGTGTGAGATAATGCGAATTATACCACTCTGTGGTAGGAAAGAAATACTAGGATTAGGAAAGTGATTTAAATTAATTCCTCTGCCTTGTTCCTCTTAATTAATTTCAGTTAATTCTTCTGYCTAATTCCTTGTTTGACCATTATCTGTAGTTTAGGCAAGTTAGGTTTCATCAACCTCCCTGATAAAACAGAAAATCTCAGGCTTGATATTTGGGTGCAAAAGCTTACTGCTGCTTTTTGGAGCACACTAATATTAATAAGGTAAACTGATAGCTTTATAATTGGCTTTTATAGCTAAAGATGCAATAAGTATTTTGATTATATGCATATAAATACGTTTTTTTTCTGGAATAATTTTTTTTACCTGGAAGCCAGTCAAATTCCAGCGATTCGATTACAGCTACCGATAATCTTATTCAAGGTATAGCCATAAGCTACATACGTAAGCTATAAATCAACATGCTTTTTGATTTAAAACACACGCTAAGCCAAGAGTCTGTTACATATAGCGTTATTACAAATGTGTATGTGCTGGATTGATATATCTGTAACGGAAGCACATGCAGCTCTGCTGTTACTTAAGGATACTTATGTAAATTTTGTTGCACCTTCTAAATTATTCAGTGGGAAAAAGAATGTATCAATTATATAATTTGAGTGCAGCAGAAGTATCATGGTCACTGCATGATGAGAATATTTCTRTGTGAGACTCAGATCTCTCTACAGTCAGATAGCCACATTCTGCCAGCAAAATGAACATTGATAAACATGGATAAAACATGGATTAAAAAAATGGATAAAATAAAATTATTTTGAATGTGTTAAAGGAGAACTTCTTTTAAGGGCTCTGTCTCTTATATCTGCTTGCTCACAGTTGGCTTGGTAGGTAAATACTAAGCGCACACAATTTTTGCCTTGTGCTTGGGAAATATTTTGAAGGGGTATTTAAAACTGAAATCTGCATCAGGATTTTAATATGATGAAATCAACTGTAGCAGTCTTTGATATGGTAAGAATTCCATTTTTATCTCCATCTTGGAGAATAATTGTCTAGCGCTTGCCTGGTGATTGATGTAACCACAGCTTTTCTGTGTGCCCTCTGTGCATGTTCTGTGACTTCGTCCTTCTCCCTCTTTCCCGCCAAGTCCTTTGGCCAGTGGGGCTCCGTTCCCGAGCTCTGGCTCTCGCTGCTCTCTCCTTGGAAAGTTGCCCTCAGTCGGCGGCCTCCTCTCGCCTGCGTGTGCCCTGGCCAAGTGTCCACTGTCACTGTACGTGTCCTTGCTGCATGGCCCTCGTCACCGTAAGGCTCTTTGCCCCTAACCTTGACGTTCGAGAGCTTCACGAACTTCAGCAACGTCTGTTCAGTCATTTCACGTAACACCTCATATCCTGTTTGCCATTTGTGAGACTGTCTAAGGAACAAATTAACACACGTGATTATAATGATCCTGTAATTATTCTAATTGAACAAGGTGCAAAGATCATCTCGTTCGTCGGTGCCAGCACCGTAATCCCAAATTTGCCTACGGTTTGAATCATTAGTGCCTTGACTAATAAAGAGCCTGAAACATCAGTGTTTAATGGATATTTTAYGTCTAATTCTTTCTAACACAACTAATGTAGTATGTTTGTAAGATGCCTATGATGCCCTTGATATAATGATGTACATGATATTGGTTCATTATACCTTTAATTAAAATACCTGAAAATTAAAGTCTTATTCCTAAGAAGATGAAAGAAAAAGAATTCATGGATGTTCTGTTTCTATATCAAACTTAAAAAGCTGATGTAAATTGTAGGATGCTTTACTTGATGTAAAGTAAGTACCTATAGATAGTTACATGATGTAGATACATGATGTGTGGAATTGCTGCTCGTCCGAAACCGGTAGAKTCATTCATTGCTGACTGTGAGTAAGGAGACATTTAGATGATAATGAAGAGTGAAACAGGCTGTGACAGGCTGGGCAGTTGTTTTTAATTACTCTTCTTCAGTGCTTTAATATAATCAGAATCAAACTAAGATTTGTGTGATAAAAATGATACGGAAGACAGGAAAAATGACTCAGTTTGGCTTCCTGAGGACTGGAGTTTGAGAGATTATAAAGACATTTTATCATTTTGGCTGTATCCCCCTGAGAAGTAGGCAGAGAGGAATACATGAGGAGTTCAGTTGGGATATCGAGAGCTTAGAAATGATTACAGCCTTATTTTCCTGTGGTCATCACTGTCTAGGGGCACCAGTAACTGCAGGATTATTTAATCAATCTTGTGCAAAAGAAAAACATGCAGCTGGCTTTCCTTTTGTCTTCAAATCCATTGCAGCGTGTGTGGAGGCCAAGGCCAGATAATTTGTRCACATTTTGTATTCTTTAAAATGCTGCTAAAATGTGAGAGTTGTAACATCCATTCCAGCTTCATAAAACCCAACAAGCAGTAATTGCTTTAGGAAGGCCAACCTGCCAAGCTTCTCTAATAGCTGCATCTCTTCACTATCGAGTATGGCAACGGTTATAAATCAAAAATGTGAGTAAACTTTGCAGTTAAACACGAATCACAGAATGGTGATAAATGCTTTGCAAGTTTGAATTGTGCACGTTTACTCTTTTATACCRCTCTGCTTACGTGCAAAGATGCTCTATGTGCATTGCTACGATTCATCACTACTGCCCAGCTGAGCATATGGGAGCTCAGATGCTTGTTGGGAAAAGTTTGGATTTCAAACACTGCCATCACAGCCGTGCTGCAAAACTTCGTGCCATCATTTGCGTTTTGTAATAGAGTATGATGCTCTGAAAGTCACTCCAGATACTGATAAATGCATCAGATCTCCTAGAAATATGTGGAAATTACTCAAAATTGTTAGTCTGAATTACCCAAAGTGACTACAGGAGATGCTGGTTTTGCATGCGTGTTTCGGTTACCTCAGTCGARAGAAGAGTGGAACAACAGTCTGGATTTAAAACAAGTATTAACTTGAATGTCRGTTGCTCAGAAAAGATGGAAATAAGGGCATGGAAACAGTGTAAGTGAATCTCAAGATTGTCCCCCTTCAGAAAACCAAACAAAAACCCTCAAGTTTGTGGGTTCATCTATAGGTCAGCTGGCAGTGCCACAAATAGACCTCTCCTCTCTTCCTGCCTCAGAGCATTTTCTCTTCCAAACTGCAAAGGCAGCTGAAAACAGGGAGGAAGCAGAACTAAGTTTATCCTGGCTAGTGCTGGTTTGGCACTGTGTGCTGTCTTTGGGGAAGGCAGAAGTTATGATTGGGTGGTAGCAGATGCTAAAGAAAAAGATTTTCTTGCAGCTACTTGCAGCAAAACCTGCTCACTGCAGGAGCATGTGGCTGCATTTGGTTAACCCTGGTGTGCAGGGTTACTGAGCAGCTGTGTCATGGATTTGCTCCTGGGAGGTTTCAAGGTGTGAAATGGCTGCTGGCTTCTTGTTTTCACACACACAAAAAACCCTTCAGGACATGAGAGTGCTCTGGCTCATCAGAGAGGTCCTTGCTTGCTGCAGAGACTCCTGGATCCTCGCACGGTGCTGACTGTGTCTTAGCACAATGGGTTGCAGTGGATGGTGAAGGGCATGGAGTGGGGCTGTGAAATGGTAGCAGCCTTGGCAGCCTCCATCAGTAGGAGATCATAGCGTGCAAAAAAAGAGCTCCCRGGCAAATGAGATGTCAGTTTGATGCAGATATGAAAGTGGGAAATTCAGTTGACTTCATGTTTGGAATATTTTTAGAGAAAAGGAAGCATTATGCAAGGCACTCATCAGATTCTGTTGCAGTATTGCAYGCAGCTCTAGTTGCCAGGGAAAGGATTTGTTCAACTCTTTGCATGATGTTCCTGGGTGGCCTTCCAAATATGCAGGGCAGAAGAGAACTAAAAAGGGGAGTGCATTGGAGAAGTTGAATGTTAAATATATATATTTAACATATATATATATATATTTTTTTTTTTTGAGCAAGGAAGTCATTTAGATCTCACTGTCTTGCTTGGCATTTAACAGGCTAAGGACCTGGCAGTTGGGGGAAATGTTCCCTCTGGCCAAGACTGTTCTTTTCTAGTTGTTCCTGCCTGACTTCTTTCATTTCCCCTGCTGCCTGGTGTCATTCGGGAGGCTCTTCAACAGCCCTGTGAGCCTGCAGAGGACTCTGGCCCTGCTCCCCTCCTCTCCACACTTGGTCCTTYGGGTTTTGGTCTTTTGCCACACGTTTCAGTGCCTGTTCCAGGCAGTCCAGCAGTGTTTGGTGGCTGGTTTACTTGGGTCCTGCAYGAGGTAGCAGTGGGAATCCACCCTWCATAGATAACTGGTGTGTGTTGCCCACAGCTGTGGGGACATACGGATGCAGAAGACTTGTCCCAGCTCATGTACCATGAGCTCTGTCAAAAGCTGTGGTGTGGTTATTCAGAAACGAGGTTGGATGGGGAATATRAGAATTGTTCCAGAAAGCTGATGCCTTGGGGAGCTAACTTGAAAAATTCCACTAGTCTGTTAATTTGAAGGTAGAATAAGGAAGTTCGGATGCTACTAATTGCTATTAGGAACCAAAGGAAGATTTTCTGGGATAAAYAGCTTGTCTAAAATGTCATTAGCATTAATTAACATTCTTGCTGCAAAGAATGAATGAAGAATGCTGCRTCAGAAGCAAATGATTTTTGTTGTCAAAAGTGTTTGTTATCCCTTTAGGTAAAGTCCCCTTGAACAGAATGGAAACCTGCTCGAAGCTGGGAGCTTATCCTGAAACTTAAGTCATATAGTAAATATGTTTTTTAAGGAACTGAGGACAAGCTTTTTAATGAACCTGATGCCACACACTCCCCCTAGGATTGGTACAACAAGAATTTCTGTACCAGAGCCAACTGACTTCTCGCTTTGCCTATTGAGTTATTTAATTACGTTATTCAGAGCTATTTTTTTATTTCGATCACTAAGTTTATTTCCTCATAAAGGGCACCTCGAGGCTACATGTGTAGGATGAAATTCTAGTATTTTAAACACTTACTGAGATAAATGTAAAATTAAGAGGAGAAATAGCTCACTGATACTCATTGTTTGAAGGGCTGCTTGTGAGCTGAATGCTTTTGTTAGTCATGTAGTTATTTGATGTTTGTGTAATAGCTAGACAATGAAATCAATTATTGTTCTCTTTCTGGGGGATGCTGCAGTCTGGGAAGCACATGAAATTTCTTATTTTCCTTCAGGAAAAAGCATTGTTGTATTTACTAAAAGAAGTCTTCTTAAAATGTAAAAACTGAAAGCTTTATTTCAGTGCAAGAGGACTGTCTTGTGCATTAGGGTGGGGTGRTTCCTCTGTAGCAAAGCTGCTAATTCTGTTGAACTTTTTGCCATGTACCATGTGTGGTTGATTAGCTGACAGTATAATTTTTATAATTTTTGTTAAACTGTGTTTTAGCTGTTTTTTTTTAATGTGTTGGACTGTCTTGGCTGAAGTTAATTATAGGAAAAATACCAGTATTTGGTTGGCATTTAGAGTTATTCAATTTTTAAAACTTCAAGCTGAGTAGGTTAAGCTATACTTAAAGGCTTTAGTTGTTTTTTCCTTTTTTTTTTTTTTCTAAGTTTGTTTCGTTCCTGCCATCACCTCCGTTGGTTTGTGGCAAAGTACAGTTTTTGTGTTAAATTGGCTAGACTGGAAATAAAATGTGTTAATACTTATAAGATTTCAAGACTACGTACACATTAGAGTTCCTTCTTCAGCGTTGTTCCTTTTATTTCAGAAGTTTGGTGTCAATCAGTCCAAGCCAGAATTTACTGTGGATCTCAAAGGGGCTTTGATTGACTGGGCTTCAAAGGACAAATCCAGCAAAAAGAATGTTATAGAGGTGAGTTACTGAATTAGAATGCAGAATTATTTGTACTTAATTGTACTTTATTTAAATTTAAACCTAAAACCTTCAGTTAGCTCAGTTCTAAAATATAGAATTCTCTTGTCTCCCAAATATATGTTTAAGTTGACATTACAAGGGTTGTATTCTTAGTGTACCTACATGGGATTTACTTTTGAGTTGTAAATAGGCTACTAAATAGGTTACTGGTTTCATTGGTAAGCGTTCTTGAACTGATATTTATTTTCTAAAAGTTATGCCAGGTAGGAGGGTCCACTGTTTTTTAATTAATTTGACTCTCAAACTCCAGCATGTTTACCGAGTCTCAGGATGTCTCTTTTTGTTTCTTCCCAGCTAAAAACCCGCCAAGGAACTGAGCTCTTGATTCAGTCAGATAACGACAGCTTTATTAACGAATGGTATAAAGTTCTTAACTATACCATCAACAATCAGGTATGTGTTTGGATCACAAAACTTCTGTTTTCAATATGGTATTATTTAGCAGAATGATTTGTATACTGTCTGCATGAGTGCRGCATCTTCCCTTCTTGGTTTTCTTTGGTGAGGCAGGAGGACTCACTAAAGAGTGGGGAGTCATCTGCTGAAGACTAGCAAAATAGAAATAATGAAGCAAGAAATATGGTCCATGGGATGGAGAACTGGGATATTTGGGCTGTGTCTCCAGCTCAGAAGGGAGCTTCCTTCTGTGGCGTCTTATAAACAGTAAAGTGATCAAGCATTTGTACTTGATTGTGACAAACAAGGTTTAACATCTTAGAATTTGCAAAATGGAGAAAATACAACCCTTGATTTATTGGTATGTGTAATTTTTGTGGTTGTAGGCCTGGTGGCTCCCCATAAGCTGCATTTATGCTGACAGTTCAGTCTCCAGGCTCGGGATAATCATTAACGCTGATGTTGTTGCATTGTCAGTMAGCGGCCTTCAGTTTCTGTAGCCCTGCTGGTGGTTTCCACATGTAAGAACCCAAACACAGCTGGCTAACACGAAGTTTAGTTTCTTTTTTAAGTGCTCACAGTTTGCGGCTCTAATATTTTGCTTGAATGCTGTCTCTTGGTATGAAAATGTCATGAGGGTTAATGAATAGGTATCTTTCTCCTGTCTGATCCATGTAAATGAGAATGTTTCTGCCCTGCTTTACCACATAGGAGAAGGAAAAGTCGGAGACATAATTTGGCCAGGAATGAGGTATTACATTTTAGATTGAGGTGGTAAGTGGTAGAGTAGGGAGAATTTTCAGTGCTATTGACGAAATGTGAAATGTTATTGGTAGGGGTAGCTGAAAGACCTTGTAATAGAAGATTACAAGGGAACAGATAAAAGCTATTTTATTAGACTCCCTGATAATTCAGAGCATTGAAGGCCTCAGGCACACAGATCCTTTGGATTTGAAGCAAATTTCCAGTTGATGTTAGTAGTGGCCAGTACCTTTCCYAGAAATGTTAGTTTCTGTGTGGTGAAATCTTCAGAGGAAAAAGGTTATTACCTTTTTAGGGCTCTAATCTCCTTCAGGATGCTATTTTGGGAACCTGCCATGTCTGTATATCTGGAAGATYTGTAAACTGGTATTTGAATATTGTAGCTGAGATTTTACAAACAGAAGCTTCCAAAATTACACTTGTCCATAATAAGAATATACAGTGATTTTTCTGAAGCAAGTTAAAAATGCTAAAATACATTGAGGTTTCCTGAATAGAATCCTGTCCAGATGATCCCAGTGGTAAAGGAATCCCTAGCTGGGACATTAACTGGGAGACTGCTTATATTGGCCAGTTGGCTTGTAAAAGGGCTGCCCAGACCTTTTCATAGAATCATAGAATTGTTATGGTTGGAAAACACCTTTAAGATCATTGAGTCCAACACCATATTTTGAAAGCAGCTAAGAAAGAGCCTGAATTAAGGCTAACTTTGTTCTTCAGGTTAAAGTACAGCTTAGTTGCTATGTTTAAGCTTTTACTTAYTCAGTGGTTAGGAGAATGCAACACTGCAGTGTTTTTTAAATGGCCCRGTGTTTCATAAAACCATTCACCCTGCCAGGGAGAGGGGTTTTGCTTTTGAAGATAACTTCAGCATCTGGAGTTGAGGAAGGAATCGATTATTATTAAATGGAAATTGTGTCGGGTGTATTGAGGAACTCGGCATGACATGCTGTCATGTACATGAACATGMTATTTTCTGTGCACTGCCAAACTGACCACTGTATCTGTTTAAATCGATAGGTAGTAGAGTCTGATGAAGCACTAGAAGATGAAGTACCAGATTCCCCTGGAGTAGAGAAACAAGACAAGGAGAAAGAGAATAAAGACTCTAAGAAGCTTCGTTGTGAGTTTTAAAATTTCTAGAGACGAATGTCAGTTATGCTGAACAAATTAAGATTAGAACCACTTCCTGTGTAACATCCATTCAATACCCACATGTAAATTAATAATTCTTAAAAAAAAAATCTTCAAAGAAGTACTAGTACACAGACAGGAAAAAAATCATGATTTTTTTCTGACTTCAGTGTCATTAATGGAAAAGAATTCCAAGGAACACTGAAAATGAAACAACTCAAGTATGGAAAGAGGCTTTGATATAGTTCACTATATCAAAGCAGTGATGGTAACTGTTCACTCATGTTTGATTAATAATAATCAAAAACTTTTGTCTTTTTTACATAATCTGTAAATATTTTCACAATTGCCTTTTAGCTTAAGCTGCAGTTTCTCTGCGTTGCTAATTCTTGTTATAAACAGCTCACTTAGAGAAACTAWTAGGTTTTAATTACGTCTTCAGATTTGAGAAATTAATTTCTTTGTTCCCTAGCGACAGAAATGTATKTAACTGAGCAGACTATTTTCCATATTTTCTTTCCTGGCCTTTTGTTTCCTCCTGTAAAAATACAGGACTGTGTTTTTTAAATGCTGTGCTCAATTTATATACATCAGTTACAATTTAGTCAGTGTTACAAGCAACACTATTTTATAAGTTTTTGACTCTTTATAGTTTGAAAAAATGGATAGTATGTGCAAAGAATTCCAGAAAGGGAAAAAAAAAAAAAAAAAGCATGTAATGCATATGTAATGCATATTTGAAGGATTTTATGTTAATGTGTTTGAACTTTAATTTTTTTCTATTGCTTTTTTTGGCAGATAGATGCAACATTAATTTTGTAGGTATTTCCATTATTAATTTTATAGGTATTCACATTATTTTTTTCCCCAGCAGCGAAAGTACCTAGTAGTATAGATTCTACAGAACAAAAAAAGACCAAAACGAAGCTAAAGAAATTCCTTACGCGGCGCCCTACGTTACAAGCTGTCCGTGAAAAAGGCTACATTAAGGGTAAGCAATGAATATTTAACAATCAATTAGACAGTACTTACAATGAAATACTATRTTTTACAGCTTTTTTTTCCCAAGTAATGCCACGAGTTTCCAAGTTTCCTGAAATTTCTTATCTCTCTGTTCAATTTGTTGATAAAGATTGCAGTAAATGTATTTTATACTCGGGATAAGAATTTAGAGAAGGAGAACATGTGAATCCTTTGTCTTTCTCACTGCAGTAATGACAATGTGACCCACTGCAAACGAGTTAAGTGAATTGTGTAGCGAAGGTTTCTTACTCAGGCACTCACACTTGGGGAACTGTTGATACCTTTTCTTACTGGAGGCTATTGAGAACTCACTTAAACTGTTTTCACTTCAATATTGTGATGGTTGTTTGCAGTAGTCTGKGCCCTTTGTACAAGACTGTGTGAATCTGAACTAATTCTGTCACTTGAACCCTRTTCCACTATAAATCTGTCTCTTTCCTTGGTTCCAGATCAAGTTTTTGGTTCGAATCTTACCAGCTTGTGTCAAAGAGAAAACAGCACGGTGCCAAAGTTTGTGAAGCTGTGCATTGAGCACGTTGAAGAACACGGTAGGGTGACATGTTTGCTTGTTTGTGTCAAAATCTCTGATGTATCACACAATTTTGCATGTTTTAATCTCTAAAGTTCTGTAGTTTTTTTGGAAAAAATAATCCAAAACCTCTATCTATAGTTAGTGATGAGAGTTTGGAGAGGTAGGTTGGATCCCACTCAGGCAGTGGGAGGGAATCTTAGAACTGAGAAGTAGAACTACTACTTCAGTGTCCTCCGAACTGAAGAGCAGGTGGGACAGTCTGCTGGCAGCACAGGTCCAAAGAAAGAGGGATCTCCCYTTTCCAAAGCTTTTTCAGATGAGAGACTGTCAAAGCACAAATGGAAAGTGTAAGCACACTCACAAAACACTTAGCAGAAACAAACTTTGGGAAAAAGTTGTGTTCTGGCTCTGCATATTCTCTGACTGCCCGAAGACAAGTCTGTCCAGTTACACTCATTGCTAGGTGATGATTTATCCAGGTTTGGAGATTATCACTGTCTGTCTATTGACCTAATTTTAACTTGCTTTCACGGAAAATAAGTTTCTCCAATGTAACTGAGAGTTTTAGCAAAAAGTGCACAGATGTTCTTTACATCAGGCAATCCAGAATATCACACACAATTTTCAAAAATAGCACTRTGTTGGTTGTCACTGCTGGGGTTGGCTCTGGTCTGGGATACTTTTCTTGCTGCTTTCTTGCTGCTGTTGTTGCCATCTCTCTTTGGAAAGATGACTCGGAGTGGATTGTGGGCTGTCCATAATCATCATTCGAATGTGTGCCCATCTCATACTTTGAGAGCATTGTCTTGAAAATCAGGGTTAAAGGGGAATGCTACAAGTTAATTTTAAGGTGTCTTCTATGAGAGCTTCAGTTAGAATTGTTTTAGAACCTGTAATCTTTTTTCTAAGTGTTGTTATATTATTACTCAGTATGGGAATTTATGGGAGTTTTCATTGACTCATGTATTCTTTGTTATCTTCTACGTGGATTGCTTTTGTCTTTATTTTTCCTAAGCAAACCTATAAATCAGCAGCCTAATGGAGATTTGAGCGCTCTTAAATACATAAGGTATTAAAATGGATTTTATCTTTGTTTCAGGATTAGATGTCGATGGCYTATATCGAGTTAGTGGCAATCTTGCGGTGATTCAGAAGCTGAGATTTGCAGTCAATCATGGTGAGTTTTCTTCAGCTGTGCTCTTCTTGCAGGTATTTTCAGATTGTTAAASTTCATAGAAAACTCAGTAATATTTTTTGCTGAAGTATAACTTTGGTCTTTCATGAGAAAGGCTTGACATCTTTCAAAGTAAAATTATTTCTTAATTGGAGCACTCCAACTGCAAGAACATAATCCTGAAGACAGATAATAATGCAGTTTGAAGGGAGGAAGAAATCAAATTACTTTTCCATTCTGTGGGGCTGGGGAAGAAGACCAGTAAGCATGTTAAACTTGTATTGGCTTTGAACTTGTCAATTAAGGCTTACGGCTACTGCTTTTTGGTGTGGGAGTCCTTGGCTTTTCTTGAGCTACTCTCTGTATAAAACCTCTTCACAGGCTATACCTTAGTGCTTTGCTTGGTGGGAAGGTAACGTGCAGCTAGGAAGAGGCCCAGAGCTCATCTGTGCCAGGGCATCAAGTCCTGTCTGTGAGGAAATGAGCTGTGTCCTGCGAGCAGCTCCTGCTCCCCGTGGAGGCCCCTGGGGTAGGAGGCTGCGCGTCAGCCCTGCCCGCCCTGTCCCTCCTGCCCCAGAAACGACCCTGTGTCTGCAGGGGCAGCTGGACTTACTGCCACATTTCTCTCACCTCCACCTTTCCTGAGCCAGTCGGGGGCTCGTTTGCCCCAGCTGTAGCAGTTCCTGCACTTCCTACAGGCCACTGGCCAGTGCCAGGCTGGCTGTCCCTGCAGGTGAGCATTGCCGGCCTCTCTCATGGCCTCRCTGGGAGAAGTAGCCAGGCACAGAGTTATTGCCTGAGCTTTACACTGCCCCATCCCCTGTCCCAGCAGAAGAGAGAGAGACCCAAGTGAGTAAATTTTCACTGCAATGAAACAATGACTACAGGAAAGGAGAGTAGGTAAAAGGTTTTAACAGAAAAATCTAACATTCATTATTAATTTGCTCTTCCAGATGAGAAACTAGACCTCAATGACAGCAAATGGGAAGACATACATGTCATTACAGGAGCTCTGAAGATGTTTTTCAGGGAATTGCCAGAGCCACTCTTCACTTACAATCACTTCAATGACTTTGTCAATGCAATTAGTAAGTCTGGAAAACATGCATTTTTTTTTATATAAATGCTGCTCAATATGCAGAATTCACTACATTAGTTTAGACGGTAAAGAGAATGTTTTGAGTATGAGTATCTGTCAGGTTTCCCTGAAGTTGCTTGTCAGTAGTATCTGGTGTGGCCAGGAGGTGGCAGTACACCCTCTAATATTAGTGCTGCACAGTGGTCGATTTTATTTCCAATTCGTTAAGTTTTATGCCAAAGTTTAAACAAAAATGATGACATACTGCTTTTCTCTTGCAGAGCAAGAACCAAGACAGCGCGTCCATGCAGTTAAAGATTTAATCAAACAGTTGCCAAAACCAAATCAGGACACTATGCAGGTACTCTTCAGACACCTGAAAAGGTAAGATGCAGTTGGAAGGAAAAGCTTTGTATTGATGATAATCTAAATAATTACATTTAAATTACTAGCTGATGGTTTCCATTATATTTTTATGTGTGTATTGGACTTGGTGGAAATAATATATCAGTTTGTATTTATATGAGCTTGCAAAGAACGAAACCAACTTCAGACAGCATGTGTCATAGCTGTGATGTTGCTGCCAAGTCCTYGCGTTACGGGGGTTGTGAGAGTATCAAGAATAGTATTTCAAAACAAACCTAGTTCCTTAGAGAAGGGAATCACAGCAGCTGTATGTCCTAATAGCAAGAGTAGTCATTAAAAAAGTACTGTGGACACTTATTTGCTTTGGTGTGTTTCTTTTTCATGTCATCCCACTACTCTAACACATTTTTCTCTCTCCTTGCTTCTAGAGTTGTAGAAAATGGAGAAAAGAACCGAATGACCTATCAAAGTGTGGCAATCGTTTTTGGTCCAACCTTGCTAAAACCAGAGAAGGAGACTGGTAACATAGCAGTTCACACAGTATACCAGAATCAGATTGTAGAATTAATCCTGCTGGAATTGAATTCCGTCTTCGGACGCTGACGCTGTTCCTAGAGTGGAAGCTGGAAGTGCCGGGTTGGCAGCCGCGTTCCTTCAGAAGTCAAATCTCTCGCTGTACATGATGTACTGTGTTTGTGGACCAAGCAGCAACTTGATTTTGCACTTTTGGGGAGGGGAGACATGGGAGAAATGTTTGAACAGTTAAATGCAAATTTAAGAGAACACTTTGGATTTCTTTGAAAAAGTCAATGTAATAGTGAACTGAAAAGTTTATAGTTTTGCCTTTGTAAAGTAACATCTGAGAACTGCAATATAGGTTCATACACTGGATTTCTCGGGAGAGGAAAGCTATTAATCTCAAACTGGGTAGTCTGGAATTTTATTTAAAGTTTTTTCCACTTAATAGGTAGAAGCCCTTTCAACTGGTTATGAAAAATAATTCCGTGAAGTTGCATCCTAAGCTTCTGTATTACAAGCTGCACAGATCTGTACAACACCTTTCCATGGGGCTTCTGCATGCAACGAATGTCTTAAAGTTGTGCTAACATTTTGGTTGAGTTATTCAGATCTAATTCCACACTTGATACCTGCTCTATTTTCTCCCTTTTCCCTTCTTTCTTTCTTTTTTTTTTCCTTTCTTTTTCTTAACTTCTTTCTTTTCTTTTTCTCTCCCCTCTCTCCTCCCCCTCACAGTCATTCTGGAACTTCTGAGTTGTTTTCTAGAGCAGCACACTGTTTCAAACACTGAACTTGCAGGAATATCCAGCAGCGGATATTTCTTTTGTGGCGTAATACAAGTCATATTTAATGCACGTGTTCCTTTTTCTTCCCCAGGATATTTCCTGAGTTCTGTGTAAATCCTGATTTACAGCTGAAATCCTAAGTGAATGCCGACTGTAACACTGTACTGAGTTCTTGGTATAATCCTGTGGTAGTGGAAGTTTCTCGATGTAAATACAGGCTGTCTTTTTGGAGTTTGTACATAATTCAGTTGTTGTATAGTACAAGAGCATTCTAGTCACACATTTCTAATCATGGGTAGACTAGCTACAATAGCCTAACGTTTCTCGTGGCCGCCTGGGTTACAGCAGCGGGACAGGTTACGGGGAGGGACGGGGGACCTAACTGTGTGCACTTTTAGATGTTAATTACATTTGCGGGCAAATAACTGTAATGCAAATGGTACTGGAAAAATACGGAGTGTGCTTGCTCAGTTGTTAATGCACTACAAGAGGAGCCTTTTAGGTTATTTAATATGTACAGGATACATTAGAAAAATGTATTATGAATTCTAACATCTACCRATAGTGAAACTCATATTTTGATAGATAGATGTTTGATGGAATCCATGATACTAAATTTAAGAATTTCTTTTTACATTAATGTAGAATTTGTAAAATTGGTTTTGAAAGATTTTGTTACAGGGAGCACGGTCTGCTAAAGACTTTTTTAAATGTATTTTTCTAGACTAACTGCTGTATCTGACATATTTGTTATGTCTAATCTGAATAAAGAGAACCGTTAGTTATTTTGCAGTTTGCCATTCCCAGTTCAGACGACCTGGAGCCCATCCAAACAGTAAGACTGCTCTATCTTATTGCTTAGCATGGATGCTGCCCACAGCAGAGAGTCGTCATGCCCTGTTAGAAGACAAATGCTTACTTTATAACCTGGCAAATGTAGGAATCTCCCAGTCCCTTTCTTCTAACAACCTTAACCCTGCCTTAAGATTCAGAGAGGGCAGAAAGAATTTATGGATCTAAATTTGCGGTCTTTAAACATTCCAGCTTATTTCAGATATTCCAACTTATTTGACCCTTGATCTGTTTGTGTTCACAACAAAGTTCCACAGCAAAGGGGATATGTGGTGAAATACCGACGTGTGATCAGATGAGCGATATGCGGATTTCATGAACGTACGACTTGCATGAAATTCCACGTAGATAAAAGAAAAGAAGAGTTACCTTGTGGCTTTCTCACTGTCTTATTGTGGTAATGGTGAAGTCTTGTGGTTTGTTGCAAAGCGACTTGGGTGAGAGTTGTGATAGCTGCATCTCGGTGTTGTGTTGTCAGCCTCCTGTTGGGCCTGCCGGCAGGAGCAGTGCRGAGTTGCAGGCGTGCCCCAGTTCTRCTAGAAAATATAAATGCAGTAGAAGTCTCTTGTTTTAGGGTATTCAAATCCAAACTTTAGTATGAACTAAGAACAAAATTCCCACTGCAAAATGAGATTGCTTCATTACAGATCACTTTTTCTGTATGGGTGTTTCTGTATTTGATGGAAGAATGCCTTTTTTAAGAACTATTTGATAACGAGGATGACCCTAGCATTTTTTTCCTTGTATTCCCATAAAATAAAGCATTTTGTTATTACTATACACTGTATGGTTTTGTGTAGTGAAACGTTCTTGAGTCCTACTGTTGTTGTTTTAAATCTGGCGGGGTGGAAGTATTTTTCTTACTTATTCCAAGAGGAGCAGGGAAACGCACAAACACCCCGGTAGAGGAGGCTGTCCGAGCTGACGGGATCCTTCTGGCCGCTAACTTGGAATTTTGTGTGTCAGCACATGCGCTTCCTTAACTAGGTGAAATACGTTGCCTTGCTCATCTACATTCCGCTTGCTTTTAAAATCAAAACTAAATATTTTGCTTTAATTAAGGGAAAGGTATTTGTTCTAGATGAAACATAAATTTAAAGCCCAAAGCATATATAAACCAGATTTGGCTCCAGCTTAAAATGTATTTTAAGACTGAATATAAACAATTTTAGCCAAGATATAACTTCTCAAGATATATTGGAGGTCTAGCATCATGTATTGATATATAAATATCATATATATTTATATAAATAATATATATTATTTATACATAATATAATATACAATATATAATATATAATATATAATATAATATATAATATATAATATATAATATATAATATATACATATTATATATATAATATGTATAATATATACATATTATATATAATATATAGATATAAACATTATATATCTCAATACATATTGATATACATATATAGATATATAAAATATATATGCAATTGATGCCAATTAAAATTTTATTCCAGTAATAGAGCTGTTCAACATCATAGCATTAATACAGAGCAACTCTTACTTGCTTGAGCTATGCCAGTGATGAGTTCCTTTATTTATTTTAAAGCTGGAGAGGAAGGCGGCACAAAGACAAGCCAAACGTACATTATCTTTTCATGCTGGTGTAAAAGTACTGGTGAAATCAGAGGTGCTTCAAATGGAGTGCAAGTTCATAGGTCACTATTAGCACCAGGCCCGGGCTTTCCTCGCCACGCTGCCCAGGGCCGTGGCAAAGGCCCTGCTTGCCGCACTCCGGCCTGCCAAGGCCTGGCCTGGCTGTGGGAGAGCCGCGTGTGCGCAGGGCCTGCTGCAGCCTCCCATGGCTCGTGTGAGAAGCACTGGCTTTCTCCCCTTAAAGGGAAGAGCCGCCTTTGGAGGCAGAGCAGGGCCGTTTTCAGGCTCGGTTGGTTAATTCCCAAGCCGCAGGCCGGGCTCAGCACAGCGGGGCTTTCTGCGGGGCCGCGGGCGGGCGCAGACTGTCTAATGAGGCGCTCGGCGGTGAGCGCCTCCGGAGAATCTTAATGAGCCTCCACAATTGGGAAGTTTAGTGGGCAAGCAGCTGGGGGGACTGGATCAGACCTTTACACAACAGCCCTATGTGACGCTGCAACTTCAATGAACTTTTTTTTTTTTTTCTCTCCATAGCATTCTTGTAAACAGAGCACTTGTAAAACAAGATCACACTGTGTCACAAAACAACATGAACGACATTCAGAGGGAACTTGGCCTCTTCCTCTCCTTGCTCTTTGAATGAAATGGCAGCTCTAATGTGGGTTTCCTACAGCTTCCCTAAATGCAGGTGTGTCACATAAAAGAGAGTTTAAGGCTACTACTTTCTCTCCAAAAATGTAACCTATGTTGCACTCTGCAAGCCTAGAGCCACAAAGAGAATAACTGGGGGTAGAATCAAGTTTATTGATTTTTATAGAAGTAAATCTTGTCATCTACAGCACTAAAATAGCTCACCAGAGAAGGCCAGAGTACATTATTGGCATGGRCAAAGAGSAACACTAAATGCAGGACCTGGCAGRGCAGAAGGGATGGACGATTGTCATGGCAAAGAAACAGTCACTTGGAAAATGTCCAGAAGGAGCAGGAGCCAGAGARCTGACAGAGAGCCGGTCCATGTGGGTGTTTGTGTGTGTGTGTGTGTGCAGGCCCTTGGGGGGTTTCTCTGCTCCCTCCAGTTCGTGCGGTGCCAAGGAAGGCCTGGCCGTCCTTTGCAAGCTGAGGTTCCCTGTAGGCAGGCAGAGTTCAAGCAGCCATTGCCCACCTTGCCCCAGACCTTCTTGGGCTGTATCAGCTCTCCAGTTACTGGCTTTTTTCTGTGGATTCACTTGGCACAAACACCTGACTGCCAATGGGAGTCAGGAGTCGCGTTGCTCCCATGCCACAGAAAGCTCTGCAGAGGGTCCTTCCCAAAAGCACACGGGTCTCCAGTGTAGCCTGAACAAACTTCTGGTGAACTTCTGGTATTGCAGCAAGGACAGAAGAGCTGAAGCCTGGAAGAGGCTCAGGCTTAGGGTCACTTTGAGAGCTGTTTTGTCAAGGGCTTTGGTGCTACTGCATGCTGATTTTCTGCATGATGTCCTAAAAGCCGCATTTAACATTTCCTGAAATGAAGGATCTTAACTTTGAGTAAACTSAGTTAACTCAAAAATGCAGCTATTGGCAGTGTACAGTATGTATCCCCAAAATAGAAAATTGTCCCCCTCACTTTTAGCTGAGGCGAGTTTAACTTGCACCAGTCACAAAGTGTTCGCTTCTGCTCTGCAGGCCTTCTACAGCTGTCCAGGAGGACAGTTATATTGGTCTCTGATGTCAGTTACTCTTCTTCTATTCCTTCTATACTCTTGTTGCAGTAATGGGCAGCGCACAACTGGTAGTTGTGTGATGTAAAAATAAAACCTTTAGATTTTCAGATAGAGCACAAATCCATGTAGTCAGAATGGGTCATTAATCTGCAGGGTACAAGGCAGAACTGTCCTCTTAAAAAAAAATCCATATATCTATGTATATATGCACAGTGTGGTTAAAAAATGTCAGTTTTTAGATCAGACAGTGGGAGAGAAATGCTAAATACTGAGTCATCTAATTCGATGAGTTCATCATGTAGTGCAGCCAAATAGCTGAAATCAAACTTTTAACAGTGAATTACCCAGCAGACCAAGTTATGTCCTCTGTGTTTTCTGCACCGGGAAGGTCRTGCTGCACTTGTAAGGCACTTGTTGACTTTTTCTGCATCGAAATGCATGGAGTTTTTGAATGCCCAGCTCCTTGATCCAGGTGAGAAGCACCACCTCCCCAGGAGCAGCACTGAGAGGTGTGGTTTGAAGCCCAGCACTGGGAGGTGCGGTTTGAAGCCCAGCACTGGGAGGTGCGGTTTGAAGCCCAGCACTGAGAGGTGCAGTTTGAAGCCCGCGGCAGCTCTGGGCTCCCCC